TTCCGTGGGTTACCCACGACCCACCGACCCATGCAGGGCCCTGGTTTTAGTTCAATTTTCCTCCTCTTACGTCTTCACAAAGTAGCTTTAGTTTTGGTAGGGGGGGGGTTATTGGTACCATCGATCGACTTGCTGATATCAGCCCGGCAACACTTCGAAGCAAATTCGGTGATTCTTTCTTGAAGAGATTGAGCGTCGTGCGCCAAGTGCGCGATCCTATGATAGAAAGCTGACATATATAATTGCAGCTGCAAGTAAAAAGAAAGCACGGATATAATGTGAGATCGTATTAGACACAATTATCTGACATTCATATGCAGTGTCCGCAATGTTCAGGACGAAGCTGCGTCGTTTCAACGGTCGGAGCGCTGAAAGTATCGATTTTAATCTTTAATGAGGCGTCTGCAAACATATTCATATTCTACGTAGGCTTACCCGGAGCATACTGTGATTCCGGCGTCAAGTCGGTAAGGAGAAGAAAATGTTTTATAGACCGACTGGGGGCCGCCCCAAAGTAGCAATTCCGTTTTGAAATCTTGGAGTGCCGCAATCCAATCAATCCGTTTGCGCACCTCCAAGAGGGCACTAGAAGGACGACTTGTGTCCGCAACGAACGCGCAATGAGATTCAACGAGCATCGTCAAACCTGAAAAATTAGAGGAGATAGCTACGCAAGGGGTGTATACCACTCAACGAGCAAGGGGAAGGCCACTTTGTGACTTAGCGTGCTCACCAAAGCATAGTTCTTACCCGGTAGAGAAAAATAGTTTTCTGCGCTCAGGTAACCCACTAAATTTCGCGCCCATCGTCAACGTGAAAGAAGAAAAGTGTTCGCAGATCACGAAGGATGTTGACTTTACGCAATGCACTCAGCGAGTTTTAATATTGCACAAAATAAATCATGTTATAGCTTTCAGTTTTGCCTAGAATCTCTAAACTCTAAATGATACAACTTTTTGCTCTAGCAATTGTACAGTGTTTGGTACCAAAGAAGATCTGGGTTCTACTTCCTAGGAGGGCTGTAACGGACGAGTACTGCACTATTGTGTACTTACACAATTCACTTCTGCGCAATTGTACAAAATTGTATTTCGTAAACCTGTGTGTTAGTGTTAAAATACCAAAATACTATTATAGGTACCAAAATATAGGTAGTTATGATAATGATGAAAAATTGTTTCTACAGCAGCTCTAGGGGTTGAGGTCAATAGTCCTCAGCTCTGAAAAAAGCATATCGTTCTAAGAGATTAAAATCACAGTTCCGTTTCAGCATCAAGGTCCCAAGCTTGGTGCTACCTTAGTTCGATGGGACCCAGTCCTGAAAGAAGCAGATTTTCTAATGTGGCGTATTATTAACACCAACTTTCAAGCATCAGGGAGCTAGCAAAGTGTTAACGATTCAGGTGCTTCGTGGATTTCCATTGTACGCGATTGTCAAAACTAGTAGACCGTATGCGGAGAATTAGAAGATGCCAAATTCGGGTACGATATTGTGAGGCTTGCGCCGCGGCCACCGGGTAAATTGTCGAAGATTACGTTAAGCCTTCATGTGAACTTCGAAGATGGAATATTATGGATTCAAGATTCAGTCTCAGTCTAGAAATGGCTTGGCTGGATCTCTATGAATCATGTATCTACTGAAAGTTGGAAAAATATGGCATCACACACTTTTTAAGCATTGATGAGTCATGAACTCACCTTTTCCGTGAAACAGAAGCGCTCTTGGAGCAAGCATGAATCTGTGACAGCAACCTTGCAAAAGTGGGGTTGTTCGAGATTGATAGCAATGAACACGCAAACTTCATCGAGCAAGGCTGGGAGGACAAACACGGCAGTGACGAGTCATGAACCCATCCATTTCAGGAATTAATTAGGAGCGCTGTCGGAGCGAGCACGAAGCTGTGGTAGCCCCTATGTAGAACATTGTACTGTTCCAAATTGATTGCAATCGAATTGTTATGTGCTTTGAGCAGATATCGAAAGGCAAAAGCGGCAACAAGCCGATAAATCGGGATCACACCTCTAAGGACGATTGCTTGTCGCGGCCTCTTGATTGTACCGTTGCTGAAACTAAAAGAACAACTGTATGCGCGGTATCTTTGGCGGGGCGATAGAGAACAGCCTTTAAGTGAGATCTCCTCATCCAAGGAGGGTGAAGAGTCAATGCGTCGAGCTGTTGCAGTCTTTGCTGGTTGCGTTGAAGGGCGAATGTAAGTCGCGAATAGATGGGTTCCGCCTCAAGTATAAAAAGATAGCTGTTTGTATCACAATGTAACGGTAGTGCTAATGTCATTGTGTATCGCTTACACCGTACGGAGCAGTAACATCTACAAGTAAGAGGTGAGTAAGATTTTTGATTGAGAATTGAAAGTAAGGGTTAGTGCCAGGGATTATTAGCCTCCTTTACTGCTCTTATACAGCTGAACAAAATATATCTTGGAGATATGTGCGAGGGATTGAAGATGGTAACGTACTGATAATACAGTAAATACAGAAGGATGAGCTGAGCATTTCATTTGTTACAGAATTTCTAGTGCAAAAATTGGGACAGCAATCCTCAACAATTATACGGACTCTTCCGATCCTCTGTTTAAGGAATATCAAACGTTACGACAAGCGATCGACTACTTACGACATGGATATCGAAACCAAATATTGTGATAAAATGATATGGCCCTTACTAAATGATCAGCGTAGCGACATTGAAACATTTTGTGCGAAGCAGGTTGTTTGAACATGATGATTTAAGATAAATGCTTACACTTGGCGGTGACTCCCTCCTATCAGAAAGGCTAATGACAATGGGCAAATTGTGCATAGTAATAATTAATTAAATGCAAACACGCTGTAAGAGCAGCACCCATCATTGAGAAAATGAGCTTGAAGTTGACTTCTACTTGTTCAGTGCCCCTGACCCGGTCGATGGTTTCATCAGACTGCTGACCAGATCCCTGTCACTGCGGTGATTACTTCAAACGGAAATGTTTTTAGAGCGGTTTGAGATGACAGAGGTACGATAAATTGCGCCAATGTTGTACGATCGTCTGGGTCACAAGTGTTCACGTCACATCGTGACGATGCAATAACTTCATTCAACGATATACTCGCCCATAATCGCGCAAAGCATGGAAAGTCAGATGCGAAAAGCTTCATTGAACATTTGCTGACGGTGCCTTTGGCCGCCATCTTTTGATCCTAGAACTGACAAAAGCTAGTTAAACTGGTCAATATTGTCCTGAAGACGTTTATTCTAACATTTCATGCTTAACCTAGCAGAGAATTCGGTATATTTTCGACTTGTTCGCGGGGTGAACTACAAGTGCTACCAAGTTCAACGGAATCATCGTGCACTTTTACAGACTGAAATCTCGCGTTGAAAGTGCACAATGGTCACTTTCGGTCCCGCTCTATAGCGGGACCGAAAGCCTCTACCGTTTCTATGAGTTTAGATTGCTCTGCGATTTCACGAGTACACCTATTCCATTGAGGCTCATACTTAATGTATACGTTTTACTCTATCTCATCATAAATCTGTCTGGAGTTCTGCAATCTTCACGGATACCGATATTCCGATATTCAAAATATTCAAAATTACACCAAGTTAAAGTGAATAAATATCTACAGACCACATAGTGAAAAATCTACGCGATTTATGAATTTAAGCTCGAGGTTATTTGTATACCAGGTGCAAGATTATGCTATACGACGCAAAACTATTGATTGTGCTGATATTGCAATTTTGTGCTTTAGAAAACGTTTCTCAATCTTTATCGTCAGTGAACATCTACGTTTATTACTTCAGCATACCTGTCGTTGATGTTGTTGGCGTCGTCGGAGTCATGCCCCCCTCGGCATTTAATACTGCCATCTCGTCTTGCGCACGACGCAATACCTTTTGAGCGTTGGCTGTAATGACCGACTTGGTTGGGTCGCCGTTGAATATGCGCGAATTATTCACCATGAGCTCCAAGTCTTTGACAAATTCCCGCATCGAATCATACTCTTTTGCTACAATCTTGCGATGAATCGTGCTCAAATCCATCGGTTGTTTCACAATCTGGTAGTAGTTATGGACTGTGCTCGCATCGACCGGTGCACGAAATATTTCGCTTTCTGGCATTTCAAGCAGCCGCTGCACAACTACTTCCAGCGCGTTATTAACATGCTCCACCGGCATACGCGAGCGGCTTTGTTTGATGGCGCTTTTCGCATAGGGCCTCTTGTACAACTCTGCCTGCTCCCGCACTTCCATTTCTCGCTTGCGCTTCTTTTCTGCGTTGTGTTTGCGCGCGCCTTCACGCAGCTCAGCTAAGTTTACGGTAATTTTGGTGCTGGAATCGCCACCGCTAATAATTGAGGAATTCTTCTTTACCTTCAAATTTGATGAATCCGCAAGAACAGCATTTGCTTGCTTTTCGGACAATAGTCCTGTCTTTTTCGAGCGAGCTTCATCCGCCATGTATAATGGACAACTGCGGTTTGTGCGCATGTGTCCAATCTGCAAGCACTGCGTACAACGAATCACACCCTTACCACTCCCATCATCACCGACGTCGCCATCAACATCATCACCAGCCTCACCTTTCTTGAGCATTTCTTGGTAACCTTTGTTGTGCGCTTCCGTCTTCGCCAATTGCTTCAACTCTTCTTGTAACTGCTTACGTCGCTTCGCTTTATCCAGCATGCTCTGACCAGAGCCATCATCCTCAAGTGCAAGCATACGCTTGCGCTTACGAAGCTGGTTACGTTCATCAGCTTTATGTTGGCGGTCCCTCCGCTGCTGCATTGCGCGGAATCGAGCTATTTGCCTGTCATCGACGATAAAATGGATATGTACAGTCTCCGTTCCATCCTCTTCAATGGTACGCACAACGCGCTTCAATACTTTCCGTCCAGGAATCTTCTTTGAGGCACTCGATGGCTCAGATAAAAGAGGTGTGCGGCTCCCATGTGCTGGTGAAGATACTCGCGATAATTGGCCAGTAGGCGTTGCTAAGGCAGACGACACCGTCGAACCACCGCGTGATATGATATTTGATCGCATACCAATATTTGAGACTGAAGAGATGCCACTTGCCCCGGTTCCGCCCTCTTTTATCCCGCTTGCTCGCAGCTGATTGCGCAGGCCGTTTGTATCGACGTCAGGACGTCGAACAGCACTTGTAGGTTTAGCGTTTGCACTGGGTCCAGCATCCTCGTTCATCTCCTCCATAAGACGACGCAGCTCTACAGCATCCTCACGCTCCGCAAGCACCTCCTTCGAGCGATTGAGACCCCCGCCTCCACTACGAAATAAATTTTTCGGGCCGCGTTTTGTATCTGTTCCTCCTAATATATCAGCCTCCACATCAGCTCCCAGTTCGTCAAGCTCATCATCACCGTCAGACTCTTCGTCGGATGAGAACGTAGTTTTTGTTGAGCTAAGCACGTCCATTTGTCGCTCATAGATCACGTCACACTTTTTGCGGTATTCTTGCTGCTGGGCTGATAGAGACTTACGCGCGCCACGTGCGAATTTACTCAGACTGCCAGCAACACCGTGGGCTGTTGCTCGACTACTAAGCTCACGCACCATATGGATTCGATCCCAACGACGCAGCTTCTTAATATCTGCATCCGCCAGACCCAGATTGCGCAGCACATCACCGGCCTCCTTCATCTTAAGTTTACGCAAATCGGCAGTTGTACCAGTGACAGCAGCTACAGCTTTCTGCACAGCTGCAGTCTCTGCGCTAATTTTGCTCTCGGTTGTTGGAGCTGCATCTTCCTCGCCGTCCTTCTTCTTTGCGCGAGACTGTGGCACACGCACAAAACTGAAGCCTTCACCCCGACCAGTAGGATCACCAATGCCACCAAGTTGAAGCATGCCAGAACCTTTTCCCTGTAGATGGCATTCGACGTAATTATTTGTCAGATTCCAAGGAGTAAGTTGCAGCTGCTCATTAATGTACCGAGCGACTTGGATATCCTTCTCAAGTTTGCGCACGACAGGATCTTTTTTCCAAAGTTCAGACTGTGCTTTCTCCCGCGCACGCCTCTCCAAGTTGGTAGGAACAAGACGCGTCGACAACGAATTTTTACGTAATTCCAACCGTCGAATCAAATGGTTGATTGCTCCGTTGACGCCAGATGGCGTGAATAGCTTGGTCAGTCCAATATCCAGTAGCCGTCTGTGGCCAGACATCATGCTTTCGTAGAGGCACACACTTTCAGGAGGAATGCTAGCGCGAATTTCTTCTTCGCTTTGCAATTGTGACGTCGGCTTTTTCTTCCACCACCCAGAATCGTTGCCACCACGCTCAAATGTAGCAACCTCTTTCATTCGCTTACGTATAGCAGTGCCCGACTGATTTGGAAAAGCACGTGCAATGTCCTCGATCTTCAATCGCTCTCCATCACTCGCTTTCTTAAAAAGCCTGAGTATGTGAAATGACATGTACGGCCTAATGAACTCATTTGCACTGCGAGAGTTCGGTGCTGGGACTTCAATTTGAGGTTCAATTTGACCTGCAACATAAACCTCAGGCAACTCCATGATATACACAGTAGTTTTTGGAGCTCCAAGCCCGCCTGACTTATCAATTGTCACACCTTTCTTTCCTTTGGTCACGGAGCGACACATTAGGAAAATGTCCGAGTTGTTGCGTTCCCGCGCGTCAGGACTCGCGGCAAACGGAATAGTTGGCTTGTGCGGAAAAATAGGCACCTTATAAAGTTTTGAGTTTAATGATGTTACTACACGTCCGGGAGGAATATCGCCAACGAATGGAGACTCATCGTGATCGCCAAGAGTAATGACTTGGCCCATTTTCATATCTGGTGGTTTAGGGCGCGTCTTGCGGACTTTTTTCTTTCCCAGAATCCCCAATCCTGCTGACGCATCTTCTGGTGGCCGCCAATAGTGGAGAATACGGGACGCCATACCCGGATTTGACAGCATGGGAGGGTGCTGCTCTGTGTATTCTATCAGGATCAATTTGCCACCAGCAGTTGGATTCAAATCAGAGCTCTTTTTAATTTGTGTCACCATGGCACTCTCTTCCTGCGGGGCTAATTTAGCAGCACCCGGAGGAGGTGGCATAAACTGAAGTCGCTCATTAATTTTAAATCTACCCCGCGGTCGGTGAAAATCACGCAGTTTTGTCTTAGGTAGTTCCGGTTTTGTGAGTGAAAGCTTCATGGCTGGCAGTGAATGGTGCACATACCCAATATTCTTGACCACACGCGTGTCTTTTGACTTTTTGCCACTTCCTTCTGTGCCAAGTCGGCCTTCCGCAGTCTGCTCACCAAACTCGAGATTGCCCATGACCTCATCAATACGTTGCTTCTTCTCGATGCGCTGCTTGTCAAGCTGTGCTAGACGCTGTTCAGCTGCTCCCAGCTTTCGTTCAGGAATACGTAAAGTGGGACGTACGTCCTCCATTTCTGATACAGAGTAAATGAGTGATGCATCATTGTCATCCAGCACAAGTTTGCTTTCAGGCATGTCTTGCGTCGACTTCCAACCAATAGCAGCCACCCACGAGTCATCCTGCAACTCTCTATTCAGCGGACACGACAACGTTTTTTTTGTCGTCTTTTCCGGCTGTTTCCTCTCTCCTTTCGCCTTTTTGAAATCATCTAGCTCCCATCGGTAATTCCTTGGTTTCATCATATCAAATTTCTCACCACAAAATTTAGATGACACTTTCGGTTCCTGCCCTTTTACCACTGCTGATTGCTTGGATGTGTTCAATCTACTTTTATTCGTCTGAGCTTGCCTACTGATCACCTTTGCTGCCGCCTGGTTGCTGTCTTTCTTCACTTCCGTGACTTTACCTACTGAGTCTTCTACCTCGACGATTTCGTCTTGCTTCTCCTTGTCATGTTTCCGGGATGCGTTAAAGTCAATTCCCCATATAATATTCTCTTCCCAACGAATCTGCTGTACTTTGTGGTACTGCGCATCGATTTCGTCTTCCGAGTCCGCAAGTCCACCGGGTCTTCCTCCAGTAGCCGCCGTGATGACAAATGGCGTCTCGGACGACGGTAGGAAGCGACGCATAGGCTTTCCTTTGTCTTCGGCAGCCCTTGGAGGATGTGGATGCATCGTTTGTTCTTTTCCTGCCGCATTTTCAGTCCCTCCAACCTCCTGAGTCGTCAGTAGCTGCTGCAGCTGGTCCGATGCGAACCTTAACGTTGTCGCTTCCGCTGCCAAAGTCTGTCGTTGTAGTCTGTGCTGTATCGATACCGTTTCTAGCTCTTTTTCAAAAGCCCGTAGCGTCACCAGCATATCCAAATCGCGCGAAGATCGCTTGTACAGGGCAGCAAAGTCAATGGATTTAGAATGCACCTTCTTTCGCGGCGAAGACTCATCACTTGGGCAGGCAGCGGACAGCGGTGGCTTTTCCAAAAAGGAATCGTCATACTTTATGGATGCGGGAGTGTCCAAAGTCCTTGTAGGGCTCCAACCTAAAGGTGAGCTTGACAGCGCAATCCCGTTATGTTGGGTAGGCGTCATAATTGCCAACTGACTCAGTTACAAAAGCGAGAGTGTAACATCAAGCCATGACCTTATGTACATAACATAATAGCATTGTTTAGGTTATGGCACGATAAATAATAACAATAATGCAGCGACTAAAACTGGATGAAACAGCATTAGACTTGTTCGCGCGGCAACCAAAACGCAGCTTTTTGACTGGTTTAGAATTTCTTGACGCGGCCACAACAACGCGTCATGGCAAAAAGTATGGATTCCAACCACGACAAGTCATAGAAATATGTGGGGCAAGCGACACTCCCAAAACTCAAGTGCTGGAACACATTGTGGCTTCTTTTTTGACTAAAAGCTCTGCAACGTGCTACAAGGCGCCGAAAGAACGCGTGTATATATTTGACCATGAGGCTAAAGTGTCTGCTATACGGTTGGCGTCACTAGTTGCCGATAAGATGGCCAGTTATGATCGGGAGAATGCTGTGGACGACGCATTAGGACAAGTGCAAATATGTTGTTGTCAGGACACGTTCCAGTGGCTAGCGACACTGAATCACATTCATTTTCAGTTGCTTGAGGCATCGCCATCTTGTGAGTTATACAGAGAATGTGTGGATGGAGACAGTTTGTTAACCTTTTTGCGGTTGTTAGCTTTGATGCTTGTGATCAACTCCGTCGGGTCCTTCCATTCTATCGATATGGTCTGTTGATGCCACTTGACTTTGGATGCTTGAAATAATGGCTGATTGCTACAGATGACTGCTAAAAGGGTGGGTAGCGGTCTGGCGATGTCGGAGCAAGTATACATTTTTCTCAAGCAGTTCATACGACACCACTCACCGATTGTTTTCGCCGCAAAAGAAACCACCAGTGCGTTGCTATCATATTTTGCTGTTGCGACTTGAATAATTATGGACGATTTCTTGTAGAGGGCACACGGTCATCGTGGGAGCATGCAGAATATATGCCATCATCATGGACTAGCCAAGTATCGAAGCGAATATTACTACGAGTTCCTTCACTTCGAATTCAATCGCTGAGAAGGTATAGATTGAATATTTTAGTTCTATCCAGCCAATCTGAAGCAAACTTCATTTGAAAGTTGCGAAGTAGAGAAGAATATTGCCGACGATGAAGCTAGCACTCAATTTGAGGCCAGATGCATCGCCGTCGGAGAGAGGTGGGTGATTAATGCACCTGCTAAAAGGCTTATGCTGATATGCCGTTGGCTCTAGCCTATCTTTCTTGTGTCAAATCAAGCAGAATCGTATTGTGTCGTACCCTTTTGTCAAGAAAACATCACCACACACAGTTCAAAATCAAAATCAAATTGAAGACTAGTCTGAACTCGAGGCGTGAAACAAAGGGGGAATTAGCACTCGTGTGGTGTACACAGCCACCAGCTTTCACTGTTTGCCTAAATGATTTCCACTTATAAATCCGTCGTTTTGACTGCATGGGATCCGAATGGCATTTCCATAGGAATCGCAGAGATCGAGTACATTTGAATTCACTTGCATATCGCTTTTCATTATGCGCCAATTTTTTTCGTGTTTGCTACCATTTCGAATTAGCTCCTGTCGCATCGAAAAAAAATGTTTCATCCACTTAGTTACGTTGGTACCGCTACGGAAATTTTCAATTGTGAACTCTCCAAGATAAATCTGTAGCTGCTGGAATTCAATCGTGAAGATAGTGACCGTGCGTTTGTCCTTCTCTACCATCTCATCTTCGTAATTCAGCGAATCAATGCACATAACTTCATGGGTCCGATTGCGCTTCACGGCCTGTGATATTCGAAGTTTCTTAATAGCAAACTGTTTCCAGGGAAGATATTTCGCTGAACGAACTTTATTTCGCTGTTCAAGTGAATTTTTTTGCGGCGCGAACATTTTTGAGCTGGTCACTAACCCAGTAAGGAAATGGGAACAATCAAGTATTCTCTGATTCCATCCACAGTGCATTTGTAAGGGCCAAAAGAAGGCAAGCCCACAAATTGTATAATTGCCTGTAAGTGCTGCACCACGCGGATTGTATTGAGTCATTTCATCTCGGGATAAAACTTCACAATCAACTTTTTCGCACACTAGAATACCGTATGGTAGTCGCTTACAAGTTAAATGGCAAGTTTCATCTGAAAGAGTCGGACCAAAGCGAGAGCAGCAATTTTGCTGCCTCCACTGCTGGTTGAAAACTGGGCTCAATTTGTCTACTAGGGTTTGTGCGTAGACCTCATATGAAAACGATTCTGATGGAGCCCATAAGGGCATTTCTGTGAGAAAAATTTCTATGATTGGCTCGCTGATGTTACTCGGGATCAATAGTCCTGTATTTATCATATTGCTCGTTGTCGTCCTTGCAGGAGGGATTTGATTGTCAAGATGCATGGTTTGGTCGTCGGCTTCATTGTTCATTGTCGCGTCACCATTCGTTTCGATTGGTGCGGTGGAGACAGACGAAGGACGATTTGGAGATCCAAACAATTGTAAGATCTGCCTTCTATGCTTCCATAGCTTTTCCAGACATCTATCACGGTAAGATATTTTGTTAAACCTGGACTCAAACTTGCAGAGCGTCGGTATAAAGTCAAGATCTATTTTTTTCAAACACGCTTGAAGCAAGCTTGCAGCGGCCTTAGTAGAATACCACAAATGATCTAGACTAGCAAGCGAGATAAAGGTATGCAGATCCGTCGATGGGGTAGGCACCCAACGATTTACAAGATTTAAAAAGACAGAATTGTTGTCTTCCCGAAACATGCGCACAGATTCAAAAAATGGCGAAACGACATCTGTACTGATTTCCATATCCGCACTATATATATTTTTCCTTATTTGTAAGTGAACGAAGTTCCATTGTTCAATTTTGTTTGTTGCTGCTGTCCGAAGGTCCAAAAGTTTATGCCGCATTCTTGTTAACAATGCATTCGATTTGTCCATCAACCTTGAAATATCGAGAATAAGGGCATCGTGATCCTCCTGTTCCATATCTGCCCATGTCTCTCGTCTTTTTCGCTCTTTTGTCTCGAGTTCCAATTCCTTTCGCAACCGTACAAACAATTTGTGCGCTCCCACAAAAAAGTCCACACGCATAAATGGAAGCTCTTTCTTCCAAGCTTGGGAAGTAGACGATGATGCCGCGACCGCTTCAATCCAATCCATCGTCCCGACGTACTGCTTGTCAAGCTCAAACGGAAGATGCGGGTTCGCAATCATTGTTAATTGATCAAACAGCAAACTAGAAAAAGCATTTGCATCAATTGCCAATGCTCTTCGAGTGATATCAGCCTCAGATACGGCTTGGATAGGATTTCGTGAACTAGTGGCTATCCATCGATTCAGTATTTGAAAACTTTCACGTAAATGAAGACCAGATAGTAACGATGAAGATTCAGAAGATATCCAACTTGGATGCTCCGCGATATTTCGGAATCGAAGTCGACTGCACATCCATTTGAAAAGCAGTTCCCGATTGCGGCTTAGCAACAGAGCAGAAGATGACGTGGCGAGTTTGTTTCTGGATTGAAATTCAGAAAACGTCGGTACGTCACAAGTTTTGAGAATACGGTGAAGGCTTTCGCGTTCCATCGAAAGCTTGTACGTAAGCTCGCTGCTCATATCATATACATTTATCTGAAAATCACCGGCCCTATCTTCTAAGATACTGACGAGAACTTTCCGCTTTTGGATTTGACGGACCTTTTGATAAACTGTTATATTTTCTTGTGCTAGAAGCTCAATTTGTACATCTTCACGACCGCTATCACGCTGGAAAAATCTTACATGTTTAAGAATATAAAGCAATGTGAGTGAAGAGTACGAATTGGACTTGACACAGCAAATCCAAAGCCGAAGCATCAAAGGTTTTTGGCTTAACAGATCAAAAACTTGGCTCAGTGGCACAGATAAGCGATAGCTATCCCCGCTTGAAGTGTGGTATATTGCAAACGTCAAATCTCCCCAATTCTCGTACACGACAACCATACAAATTTTTTTATCGACTACAGCTGCTTGCCGCAAAACAATGTCTCCTTGTCCACACTTGCGGCCTTTTTGCAAATCTTGCATGACCTTACTCGAGAGAAATCGCGGTGTTAACTCACGCAGCATATGGAAGAAAGTTAACTTATGTAAAGTAAATTCTCCCGTGAAACGGTCTAGCATCGCAATGGAAATCAAGATATCTGCTGTTGCACGCCATATGCTACGCTTGGATCGACTAGAGGAGTACCATAACTTCCTGCCGCTTAGGCCAATCACGAGCTGAAGAAGCTCATACTCAAGAAAAATTTTGTGCTCTGAACAATCCACAGGGTCGTAAGCTGTGATCCAGAAATCTCTTTTTGTGCGAGAATCATAATTTACAATCAAAGACATGCTTACTGTAATCATCACGCGCCAAGTCTTTTGGGCAAAAGTTGCCACGCTCGATAGCTTTATCGTACGTCTTCGCAAATACGTTAGCTGATTACGCAAGCCTGGAATATTTATTCCAGGCAGGGCCATATCATTCCATGTAGGGTTTTGGAGAATGAGGTTACGGCGGATCGGTACTATATTACAATCGCGCAAAGTCAAGCAGCTTTGACAAATATGCGCCATGACACTTTCCATACGTTGTTTTGCTGAATGACTCACGAATAAGGCCTTTTCTGCAGCTTGACAATATCGTTCCATTAACGGATACCAAGTGAGGTTGTAGTCATCGTTTGATTTAAGGACCCTTGCCTGGATGTATTGCTCATTGTACGTAGCTTTAAAGCATTCGTAGCGAAGACGCTCCACATCTTGACGACATTCCTCTATGCGCTTGGTCAATTGACGTTTTTGAAGAATTGACGTTCGATCGTTGGCATTTTCCAATTGATCCCACGCTTGAGCTTCTGAAAAAGAACGATATGTATAATCAAGAGCTCGCTTTGTATCGCTGATGGAAACAGCAAGAAAAGAGTTCAAACTGTTAAGCAGCGTTAAACTCCTTTTTAGCTCTGCTGCGAGAGACTCTCGTTGATCGATTGCATCGCTATGTATCCGCCTCCAATTTGAAAGAGTCTTAACAGCAGACTTTGCTTTTTTAGAAAAAAAATCTGCATAGCGAGATGCTGCTGCTGCTTTTAGAAGTTTTGTCTCCATATTTGATATAAGCGGGTGGTAAGTAGAAGACATGTGCAGATTCAGTTTTATTGACAAGAGCAGTCGATGTAACTGCGTCGATTCTAGTCGCAGTCGATAAACATTATTGTGAGACGGACTGTATGCACGGATTAGCCAGCTTTCGCGATTCTGGACATCTTTGGAATTGCTTCCACCATTCAGAAAGCACGTGCAAACTTCTCTTCCAACTTCGAATTTACTATCTTGAGCCCGATATTGACATTTCACGTCAAATCTTCTCGCGCAAGTAAAACAACACGAAGATGACATTATTGAATGACTATTCGTTGCAGCTTTATGATCATTCACGTAGTAAAAATCGAAATGTCGGAGTGAGTGGAAGGTCACAATCGCAAGCTCACCATCCATCTTCACAACGCGAATGTATACTGGCGTACAAATTTTCTTTTTAGCTTTGCGAATTGCCATTGTCCGAATTTCTGACTCGTAAAACATTTTCGCCAAACTAGCAACCTGTTTATAGTAGTAAACGCGTAGTTTATGAGCAAGATGAAAGGCTGCCTTTGTCGCGCGAGCCTTTCGCCGTCCAATCTCGCCTCGAATCATGCGCTGAACCAACAATGCTTTTTTGCACCATAAATCATATTGATCTAACCTTTTTGTCACATTGTTGATCTCGAGCTGCAAGACGTCACCACGTAACTTTTGACCTGCTGCAATGAGCTTGATAAAACTTGTACGAGACTGAATCAGATATAGTGGAACTTTACGTAGCCGGCGTAAGCCTCTTAGAAGTGCGTGTCGCTTCTGCATTAAATCATTTCCCGCTTTCTCTAGCTTGTTTTCAAACAAGAAATGTCGTTGGTGTGCTCCTCTGATAAGAAGGCTAGACCATTCCCCTGCATCCGGACGACACCAAATATTTTGCTGCCGCATCGCTAGTGGCGCTCGCTCTTGTGGTATCTTCAAAGCGGCACAATGATCCCAATACAACGCCTCCACAAGCCGATACTGCAAAGCTGACGGTTCGCTAGCTTTATCTTTTTGTAAATTTTGATCGATCTTGTTCATATTAGCCGAGTCGGTGGACAGACCAGATTGGTATATTTGCAGTTCTTGAAGATAAAGTTGCTGAGCTTTGAGTATACGCTTTCGGCCTTGAAATTCTTCACCAATGTTGGACATGCCAGGAATGGAAGACTTTGGCTGACAAGCTGAAGATGTCACAAACGTTGTAAAAGTTGCAAGATCTGGATCCTGATTCGGAATTTTGTGCAACAAAAGTACATTTCCACACACAGGAAATACCTCATCATCAATACCACGACCGTTGTTAAGAGCCTTTTTCAAAGGAATTACATCATTCAAAAAGTCTAAATCTTTTGCCATTTTCATGATATAATTACCATTTGAGCCAAAAAAGAACGGTGGTTTCCAGTCATTCATAGATGGCGAGGAAGACGCCGAAAGCTTAGTCATGCACTCGATGCAAAAGCTAGACCCCCCCTTTTCACTTTCCACTGCGAAATGTTTACCACAAGAACGAAACACATTTCGTCGACATGGTATTTGCTTGACTGTAAGGTTCAATCTTCGAGCTTCCGATGCCGCGCGTTCGTCGTACGCACGCTCAGCACTTTCTTTTGTGTCGTAGTATCCAAGATATATCGTTTGCTTTTCTGGTTTGCCAAAAATCACTTTACTCCGACAGAAGCGTTTGGTCTTTGACACAAAACCTTTAGAACTTTTATAGAGTCGCTTTTCCGTATCCAACGTTATAGACACTGACCACCCGTACGCTGCTCTCTCACTAACTACGTTAGCCATATCCTCCTGGTTAAGCTGAGAGTCATAGCGCGCGAACCCGATCTTTCGTGCATACCGTCGCCATTGATCGATATTTTCCAGGACTTTTACAGTCAAGAAGCGGACATGACTTAATTCTGTGAGAAGTTTCATGATCATATCTCCCGTTTCTGCTACCATATTTTGTTGATATTGAGCCATGCATTCGTTACATAAGCGATGCACACGCTCTATCAGCGCTTCTCGCTCAATGATCACGCACAATATATTTCTCTCAAGCCGCGACTCTTTTGTTTGCACCCACTCAATCATTTGTTGTTTTTCCTCAAAAGAAATGTAGAAATGGCGCCGCAAACAACCAAGTCCAGTATTACTTTTTAAATGCACAGAAGCATAGTTACTTGACTTGTCGGCTCTTTTCCGTGAACACCGTGCAAACAGCACCCACTCCCGGCATAAAGATGCATTACACTCCAGACGAGAATTTGCAATATCGCAGTCAGTTACTTCTCGAAATATTTTGTTCATCACGCTGCTATCATTAACATTAAGCCTTTCTGCGGTGCCTGCTACTTGAAAGCGATCTTCACAACCGCTTTGAATAGCCAGCATAGGCATGTTTCGCTTTGCTTCGTTCATACCTAACCAAGATCCTATTCGCTGCATTGATCGAAAGCTGTGCACATCGTTTTCAATGGCAGCAATCTCCATAGGCAGAACATTGCTAGATGTATTTAGGTTCACCATAAACTGAGAGTTAATTTCAGTATCGCTAACTTTCTCCTCATCGATGCTAAAAGCGGTTGACTCTGGTCGCGACATGTTTCTTGGCGTATGTTCCTCACAACGCCGTTCAACATCATCAAAAGATGACGCTACCGTGCTTGTGGGGGGATTTCCACTTTGATTCTGATTTCTCCTTGTCATGTATGCATCAACTTGTTCTAATGCGTCAGCATCTCTGACAGATGATATATCCGAACTTATAACCTTGGTAAGTTGAATTTTTTGGAATGCATCTGATCTTCGCTTGACACTAATTTGTCGTAGCAAAGGAAGTTTAAGTTGATCTAAAGACAAAGAATGTTTACTTCTAGTAGATAGATGTGTAGGACTTGTAGCCACGGCAGGCAGAAAACAGCTATGTTCTGAAGACACCAGCTTGCGGCTGACTTCTAGACGCGCACGGATAGTCGTCATTTTGGCATCAAACTCATCCGTCTTCTGCTTGAAAGTGGTCATGACGGTGTTTGACGAGATCTTCTCGGTTTTGCATCTGTCCTCGGCAAATAGCAAGACTCTCTGATCTAATCTGTCGCTCATGCCGAACAGTCCAGCGTACCGGTATCAAATGCTCAGTATACCGGTATATGCTTTAAAAGCTAAGGTAACACCATGTTTAAATAACGGATATTCCCGATTAGAGTTCGTACTTCTGCATGTTAGTACCGAACTAAAACCCCCAACAATTGGATTTCCTCAGAAAGAAATAATATTCTAGTGAAAACGGAAAAAGCAATTTTGGTTTTCGAAAACTCGATTTATAGTATTGTTTACAAATGCGGTGGATAAAATATCTATAGGTTAGTCAAGGTTATTAGCTGTCTGAGCTTTGTTGAAAGAGCGAACTGCATTGCAATTTTCATTTAAAGATATTACATTGCTGCATTCCGCTGGAGTACTATTTGGTTTATCTTGAACGAGTCGTCATCCGAAAGTCCATACTTGGCTATCGTCGATAAAATTTAGCCTGCAGCCGACACTTCTTGTATGTCTGGTTCGATTACGAATTTTATCCGCTGAGGGGCTCAAACCCGCAGCAACCAGAAGTATTGACCACCTAATCCACGCCACCGGGTCTGAAGGAATTGTTTAACATGGATGAAACTGCTATGAGTGTTAGCAACGTACCTTACATGGGGGTTCTTTGATTGATGTCTTCGTAGGATTTTTCATTTTATGGCTGTATAAAAGGCCATTGCACGACAGCAGATTGGGAGATGAGACAAAATAAAGTAAGTTTGTTTGCACATAATCATGGTCTTTTAAATGAAGAGGTTGACAAAAACTAAATTTCTCCCTTCTGCATCACAGAACCTCATCACTGTTGCCTTTGCCGCCAACGCAGATGGGTCAGAGAAGCTCAAGCCATTGTTCATTGGAAAAACCAATAAGCCTCGCTGTTTTAATCGTAAGACAAGAGAGCAAATGGATTCTTATTATCGCAGCAATAAAAAAATGTGATGACAGGCACCCTCTTTCAGGAGTGATAACGACATGCAGGTACAATATGTAAACCCCTTACAAGATAACGCCACTTCTCACATAATCGACGACAACGAGGTGAATAGTATCGAGGTGGTTTTCCTTCCACCAAACTGCACGTCCAAGATCCAGTTCATGATGCTGGGATCATCTCCACGTTCAAGCGACATTACAGACGTTATCATCTTCAAAATGCTGTTGATCGAGACGATCGAGGTGAATTCAGCATCTATAAGATCAGCTATGAAGGATCTTTTGAGTCCAGTGATGGAGAACGACACAGCCAATCTGGAGTTATATGACGACGAGATTATAGCCATGGTTTAGGAGGTGGAAGAAAAGGAGAATGACGATCAAGAAAACGAAGATGTGTAAAAGCAGATAGTTACAAATCATGAAAAGCTAAAGTACTTTGTAATACTGCTGGATGTGGCAATTCCCATAGATGAGTGGTTTTCAGGCGCATGTGAAAGCCACAAAGATTTCTCAAAATGACGGTGACAGGTCAGACTACCATAAATTCGTAACTGGTTTCAAATTAGCCTAGCACCTTTGCTTCGCACTTCATTGTCTTCTACATCAACAAAATTTATGTTTGTAAGAAATATTCATGATTGCAGTACATAACGTCGCATTATGTCCATGTGACAAAAAGACCTGAAGGGTGCGAGTTAGGCAAAGCGCTATATACTCGGGTAACTCATAATTGGATACTGTTTTACCAGTTATGAGTTAGTACTTGGCTACATACAAATATGCTTGGTGGAACAAACATTTATTAGTTATGCGAGGTTATGAGTTACCCAAATATGAGTTATTCGAGGGACAACTGTAAATGCATAAAAATGGTAATATTTCTAAAAATATACCTTTTACACGGTTCTCTACCACATGTTTGGGTCCATGATGAATTGTACGCGTTGTCTGTAGGAATCTATCTCTCAAGTACATGCAAAGGGGCTGGCTGGAGTGAGACAATTCATTTTGTGTTTTAGCGACTGCTTCCTATACATCCCAATCCATCAAAAGCCTCGTCCAGAATGTCATGATTGAAAAGTTCCATTCATACCGTAGCTGTCCGTCTTCTTTTCTCTTCTTAGTACACAGCCGCTTTAATCATCAACATGTCTGGTCGAGATCCATACGTGGTCGCTGCTCTTGCAGAGATCACGTGTAGCTGACATGTAACGGAATTTGCCCGTCCGTATACGCGCACTAAATGAAGAAGACATACATCGATTAACACAATTCGCTGCGTATCGCTCACTTCCAGCTAGCCATTGATGGCCAATAGGTCTTGAAACCCCATTAACTGATAAGTACATTTAATTCTGATATATCAGAATTGAGGCATACAGCGATGCAAGATTTAAAGCTAATGCCAACCAATGTGGTTTACACAACATATGTAATGAGACTGACCGCATTACATGACCGCTCGTTCGACGACAATTCTGTCGGTTATAATTATCAAGTTGGTACACTGATGTAGTGAAAGGCCGTAGCAAGCCATAAATTTTAACTTAGTGATGTGACGCAGTGTATTTCGGTTGCGGGACGTTGTCTTCGCGGATAGATGCATAAACGCCTGTATCCATGTCGGATATACACGTCTTGGTCACTTTTTTTTCTTGAGGCACCTCATATGATTTCGTCGCAGAGTAGATCTTTCATGGCGCTAGAGTCGGGAATGCGGCCACCAGAAAAACGCAGCTGATCTGGGTTGGCCGCTATATGGTCCGCTTGTGTTCGCCAACAATTTATGAATGCGGCACCGCTCACAGCCAGACCGAGCAAGCAAAGAAGGGCAATGGCTCTTTTGGATGAACGCCCGTCAAATTCTTTAATCAACATGATATCTAGTTGCTTTCACCACATCGGAATGGTGTAACCCCGTTCCGCATACCTGTCAGTGGTGGCAGGGTGCGACAAATCGAAGACAAGAACGAAGTGTTAAAATTTTGTTGTGGCAATTATCCGGATGTTTTAGTCCTTGATCTTTGTCTGATCATCTGGAGTCATTATATCCGGGTAGCGAATATTTTTAAAGGCTCTATCGGGTAAACTGGAAGATCCGTTCCATTCAAGGACACATCTTTCGTGACTAGGTGAGCTGCATAGCTGATCTACGGCTGTCATCAACAACTTTATGCACGCAAATTCTTGCCAGCCAGTCACAAATATAATTCATAGTTATAGTCAGTCGCTTTAACATGTAATTCATTGTCTATTCTCGCAAACTTCCATCGTTGTCGCTTAGGGTATTCTAGGTATTGTCTCGCCTGTCCTTCGGAATTTCTATATGCTATCTTCAGCCATAAAAACCATTAGCGCTCGATAAGTCCGCTAGCTCCAGTAAATGAGCAAATTTCGCTCTCTTTCCAACAACCTCGCAGTCGTGCTGTTGGTGGGCGCCTATGCTCTCCAATACTGTCCATTTTGTCTCCAACCATGGTTTCGTCACCTCCTTCATAAGTGGTGGTGACACGTACCGTCGGTACATACGGAACCTCTCGTGAAAAACAAGGTGAAAAGCTTAAATGGGAACGAAGATGAATGCCTTGCGTGTTGGCAGCGAGAAATTGTCATTGTTATCGCGATGGCCCAGATTCGTGACGACCGCAGTCTAGTGGCCTTCCATGTCGCATTTGGATGGCAGTTCGAAAGGTTGCGCAGCGGGGCTGCCATAGCTCTTTGCTTTGAGAGAGCTTACTAAGGTCACCGACCACACGTTCTATACCGGAAGTTGTACGAGTCTAGCGGATCGCAATCCGCTTACCCAATACGCATAACTACTGGTTGTCCCACCACGTAATGGCTTCTTGTTAAGGTCCTTGTTACGGTGTAGCCATGCCATTGTGTGATCACACTAACTTGTGTAACCCACACGTTTGTACGTGACACCATCTTGTGTGATCCAATCTTTCATACCAAGGAACGTGTGACCCTGTTTCAGATTAGGCAATGACATGAGAAGTCAGCCGTGGCAAGAGCCAAAGAGGGCCATGGAATCGATGATTCTTCCGCCGACATTTCGACAACGGTCGAAGTTTTGTCGTGTCGTCAAGACTACAGCACATTGTACGACTAAGTACAGAAGCTCCGTGAGCTGCGTGCCAGTATGACCAGCGAAGCATTGCCCCAGGCAGTGATGGTCACTGAACTTACGGAGGGACTCACTTGTGGCCCTCCTTAGGTTGACGTCTTCCGCAGACTTCGACGACTCTAGAAGATGCAATTATGATTGCATAGCGTGAGGTTTACTACCGACGCCATGCACGTGGTCAATCGGTCTATCCGCTGGAAGCAGTAACTCTTAATACTGAAAATCCATAACAAATGGATCTCAGCGCGATGGCTGTCCGCAGACAGTAAATTCGCTGATATGGATGTCAACAAATTGATCACATCCGCCGTGTTTGCTCACTTGGAAGACGAACTTCTCAATACAGCTCTCGTCGTAGTGGTTTCGAGCACGTGGTATCAATATCACGGCGTTCGAAAAACGCTAGTGTCCAGCGGATGCAAGGGGGTCTACTGGGGCACGGGGAATTACCTTTGAAGGATCGTTGTCCTTCATTAACGACACGAGTCGAAGTGGTCTCTCGTGGTAGTAGCCCGTTTAGAGTCTTGATTGACTCTGATTTGTTGCGTACTACGCGTGGAAGCAAAGTGCTGCTAATAATGGCTCAGTTCTTTTGGATGCACCGGAGGCATTGACTTTACCTCAGTGAAGTTTGTCACTGGTACTGTGTTCACCGCAACAAAAAAATATGGTTGATATTTAACTGAAGTTTGGAGACTTTAACTCGATGGACAGAATTCGCAGTCCTCGAGAAAGACAAACGGTATGACCTGATTTTAGTTACACCGTGACTTGAGAACATGAGCCATGGACTGCTTGGCGATCGAAAACGACTGGGAAAAGCTCTCCTGGCGTAATGGAAGTCCTGAATATATCATGCATCAAAAGAAGCATTCAGGCGCTCGGCAGTCTTGTAATGATCCACACTTTATTGGTATACGCCATGCAATTGACATTCTGATTTGAGTGAAGCGTTGCAGTGGTCAAAATGCAAGGAAGACCAATCAATTAAACGTTGCGAAGCATTTAATACTAGGCAGTGAAGTATAATATGGGCAGTGAAGTATGGGCGTTCTGCGGAGATGACCCTGGATGGACTTCGGGCATTGATTGAACAAGCGGCTGTGAATCAGTCACTTCGCGGCAAGGAAAATTGTTTCACTAGTACAGGTAGTGGCCAACGGCAGTAGCGAGGAGGCAGCACAGGTACTCGCCATCAGCAAAAAAATGGGCAAAATGGGAACAAGAATAATCAGTACGGTGATGGTCAGCGAAAACCGAAGTGAGACATAAAGAACAAAACTTGTCACCGGTGCAATGAGATCTGTCAATTCTAGGCTGACTGTACGGCTATTATCGATGACGTTTTTGGGCCTGGTGCGGCTGCCACCAGTGGAGGTAACACTGAGACAAACGCTGGGACGCAACGGCATCAACAGCGCTCCAACTACACGAGTCGCGGGGGGAAGTCCATGCGGACAGGTGTGGAGTTGTTGAAGATCGGCAAGGTGTGGCTGCTGGTGTTGCGATGGTCAGTCCGATGCTGGCCGTTTTGGACACGAAGGGTGAGGATAACAAGATGGCCAAGTCACTACCAGAGGGATCGTGGTGGTGTTTCGACACAGGTTCCAATGTGCACTTGACCGGTGATCGCTCTCTCTTTGTTCATCTCGAAAAAAATACTCAGAAAGTATTGGTGCAAATGTCGTTGGTGTGGGCGCCACGACGCTAACTCTTGCGTCCGGCGTTGGGCGAGTGAAGATCACCACTCAGGTGGGCGACACCGAGGCTAAGTCTTTTTGGACGATGTACTGTACGTGGGAGGCGCGTCACACGGACTGTTCTCGATGCATCTCGCAATTACCGAGCAGAAGTTAGAAATCGCGTACGATCGTGCAGCATCGACATTCAGTGCTTAAAAAAATGGAGAGCAGATGATCTTTGCTGTACCTCGCGAAGAAATTCGAGTGTTTGAAGCGAAGCATCCAGTGGATGCTCCGTGACGCCCAGGTGTACAGCGTGTGATCGTCAATTACACGATCGCAGACGGTGTGGCCACACTCAAGCAGTGACACAACCGGACTGGACACACGAATGTTCAGTATCCCAAAATCATGGCGGATCGTCGACTCGCGCGCGGCATGACGATCACGAACAGGCAGCTCAAGACGTGTGATTTTTGCCATATTGGCAAGCAGAGACAG